GCACTGGATAAGTGCACCACAGCACTGGCAAAGTGCCCATGCGACCAAGAGCAAGGTGCACCAACAGCACTGCGAAAGTGCTGGGGTGGGGAGGTCTGGATGGTTGGCGGTGCTCTGGATGGTTGGTGGTTTCATGGCGGTGGGGGGGCATGGGATGTAGTTGGGGTTGGGGGAGAGGTGTTGGGCGAAATTGCTGGGGTAGGGAGGTCTGGATGGTTGGTGGTGCGGTGGCGGTGGCGGGGCGGCATTGGATTCAGTTGGGGTTGAGGGAGAGGTGTGGGAGGCATTCAGGGTTTGGGTTTCGGGATACTTTTTGTGCTTAGGGGTGGGGTTGATGGAGTTTTGGAGGGATTGTGGGTTGGAGGGGAGGCGAGGCGGGCTTCAGTTCCGTGGCAGTACATTGGAGCACTGCAACAGTGCAATCATATCATCAGGGGCGAAACGACAGCGCATTCGAGCATTGCAAATTAAAAGTGCAGTCACATCGATGTCAAAGGCACTGCGAAAGTGCGTTGAAATTCAACCAGTGCAAAAGTGCAAACACATCGTCGTCAAGGGCACTGCCGAAGTGCATGCACTGAAGAAGTGCAACCGAGCAAAGCAGAAATCAAATTCCTAACACATCCTGCTGCAGGACTGGTCCTATGCCAGCAGCCAGCATCATGCGGTTCCGCAGTTCCTTGGCTTTTGTTAGGCAGGCTTCGGACTATATATACATATATATATATATATATATGTATTTAGACGGCTTTGTTGTGACTTTCCCCAGCACACGACCTTGCAAAGTGGCCAACAGCTTTTTCCCTTCGCAGCCTGTCTGTCCACGTCAGCTGTGCACGTCAGCGTCGTGGCGGGTCCTGCCCGCGGGTCATCTTTAGACTAACATGCTTGATTTGGAACACTAGTTGCAGTCCTTTGGCTCTGCGGGGCGACGCAAATCCGGAGCAAGCACCTCCCACAATCATTCATGTTGCGCCAACACCCTGGTCAGTTTAGTCGGAGACTGCCTCTGGTGGCCCCTTTGGGTATGGCATCTTTTTCTTGAAGACTCAAGACTAGGAGTCTGATCAACTGTTGCCAGCAGGATGCCCCGCACTGGGCTGCGAACTGCTTCTAATGTAGTCCGTAGCCGTGCTGTCTGCACCTGCATGCAAGAAGATTGTCCGGGTGTAACCATGAAAGAACTAGCAACAGCCAAGTACGTGGCTGGAAGTCCAGCACCCTCACATCGGAGCCCAAATGTTGCCTGCACCTGCGTTGAATGCTCATATCAATTGATTGGTTGCCCAATATAATGCACCCAGCCTTCGCAGGGACGTTGTGTTCGGGCTCTGAAGCTGCTGCTGCCACTTCCACCTGCAGTTTATTGGGCCCTCCTGACAATTGAGTCTAGCCAGCATACAAGGCCCCCACCTGCGGGGGGACATCATTTCCGCGGCGAGGCGGTGTTGCTGCTTTCACCTGGACACAAATGTAAATCGCGGCGAGAACTCAAGCCTCCCCCACTACTTTGAAGGCTTGGGCCCCCGGCCTTCACTTCATCAGGAACACTTGGGACCTGCAATGAAATTGATCGGGCCCCAGTATCAATCGTGGCGCATCACTATAAGCCCCCCCACCTCGGGAAACATGGGCATCCGACAAGGTCCAACAAAAGGAACGAAGGGCACAGGAGGAGGACCAGGAACCTAGGCATCATCAGCACTGGACTCTCCATCGAATGTAGCAGAGTCCGAACACGCTGAGGAGGGACTCTGCTTGGAGGTATCATTGGTATTCCCATGACCTTGCAACTCACTTTGTCCAGAATAGAATCTCTTTCAGTAACCGAATACAAGAACGATGTGACATTGGCAGGTTGAAGGTCATGGGTCTTCGGATTGGCTGCTGGTCCTGCCGAGTATTTTTCTGAGAGCTTCCAATAATCTCGGAAAGCATCTGAGTAAAGGGGCCTGAGGAAGAAGCTGAGGATCTCCAGGAGGTCGCGGAAGCGGCATCGGTGGCATCGGAAATGGAGGAACCTAGGCAGGAAGGAAGCAGACCAGGCCTGAGGAGGAATTGTTTTGATCCGAGGACCGGGCTGGTGTGGGAGCCGGCCCGCCCCGTCGAAGCAACGACTCATTCAGCGAGCTCAGCACAAGAAGGCACTCTTTCGCCGCCTCATGCTCGTCCATGTACACCTGCTTCTGCAGCTCCTCCGCCTTCACTTCCTCCTGCAACCTGGAGCTCAGACTGGAGGACGCCTCGTTTTGCCACTCCTCCGCAGCCAGTTCCTCCTTCAACCTGGAGCCAAGGCTCCATCCTCTGTTTTGGCGACTCGAGTCACCCTTCTGGCCGCTCGTCCCTCGCCCTCGCTCACTGTCACCCTTTCCCTTGCCCTTTCCTTTAGGGCGGGTGTACGGGCCCTGGTGACCCCGCTGACTCATCACTCCTCCATGCACCGGACAAGGCTTGCTAGAGCAGCTTGTCTAGGGTGTGTGACTCTCTTAGTTGCTGAGTTGATAAGCCCCAAGAAGTGTGCACTTTCAGTTGGATATATTATCCCCAAAAGTGTAAAGTGTGCTCACTATTGCTCACTCAGCTACCAAGCTCTGCAACTTGAAATATGAACTATCTTCGGTCCAAAGTTGCACACTGCATAACTCCCTCTCGGGTTTGAGCAGTCACAGGCGCAGGCATGGTAATTAAGCCTCCACCCATTGCCGTGCCATGCCCCCTGCAGACTGCACTCGTGTTGTAATTAACACATAACGAAGCTTGCTGTAGATGCTTCTTGCAGCCCAGGCTTCGCCATGGATGGCATCTCGACTCAAAGGCAGGACCTGCGGAGCTGTGCAATGAAAGGCTACTCTTTGATCTTAACCGTCTGCAAGGCGAAGTTGGTCTGAGACTGCTTCTTGGGTCCATGGCTAAGCAACAGAGACGTCGTTTGGCCTGGAGTGGAAGAGTGTGGGAGGGAGTAGCCGGGGAGTCCGCCTTTCCGCCTTTCACACCACTAGAGAAGCTAGAGAACAAACGAGTAGCCTGGTGTTTCTGATCAAGAAAAAGCGAGTGGAAGAGTAGCCTGGTGTTTTAGCCTGGGAGTCCGCCTTTCACCCCGAAAGGTGGACACCCTGTGTGATTCTCACACACACCCCCCACACCCCGAAAGGACTGCCTGTGTGGAACTCACACACACCCCGAAAGGTGGACTGCCTCTGTGATTCTCCAACCCGACTGTGTTTCTCACACACCCACACGACCCGACAGTGGACTACGTGTGTTTCTCAACTTACAGACTACGAAAGCCATCCTGGAACCCTCCATCTCCGACAAGCCCCCACATGTGGACACCGTAACGCACCACAGCTTTTCGTGTCTACTTCTAAATATAGCATAGCTAGTTTGACAAGAGGTGCACTTTCGCAGTGCTTGGTAAAGAATACATGAGCACTTCTTCAGTGCTTTCTTTCACACTTGTTCAGTGCTTCGACTGGAAAGCACCTGCTGAGCTTCATGTCAGGAGACAGAACGAGCAGGCGTGCAACCAATCTAGTTACAACTTTTCAATCAGGAGGCCCTGGCTGTCGACCAAGATGAACCCAAGTCAATGCCCTCCAAATAGTACATGAGCACTTCTTCAGTGCCTTCTTCCGCACTTATTCAGTGCTTCGATTGGAAAGCACCTGCTCAGCTTCATGTCAGGAGACAGACCAGAACGAGCACGCATGCTTAAAATCTTTACAAGAGATGCACTGCCGGACTGCTTTGCAAATAGTGCATGAGCACTTCTTCAGTGCCTTCTTTCGCAGGACAGCACCTGCTGTCCTGCGAGTCAAGAGACAGAACGAGCACGCATGCCCACAATCATTCTAGTTACAGGTTTTCAATCATGAAGCTCTAATCTGCCTATTTCTGAAATTCATTCTTTGGGGCTATGAACCGGGGCTATGAACCAGTGGCGACACCGACATGTCGCTCAGGATCCTGCTGAGCATGGAGCTTCTCATCCGACCCGCCGCGGCCTAAGTTCTTACATGTCAGCACGTACTTCCACAACATTGGATCCAGACTGTTAAATATTCTTGGTGGACAGGTATAGAATACGTTCTTTGGAATACACCGATCCAAGCTTGCCTACTGAAGGCATATTTAAGTATTGAAGACACTAGATAAGTGCAGACACTGGAGAAAGGCAGGCACTGAAGAAGTGCAGGCACTGAAGAAGTGCAGGCACTGAAGAAGTGCAGGCACTGAAGAAGTGCAAGGCACCGACATTATTCAAGCATTGCACATGAATTTGGCTTTAAGTGCAATCCCCATTAGGTACCCGACCCCACATCCTCTCTTTTTGTCATGTTGTAAACGTGTGATTGTCATGTGACACGTACAGACAAGGTAGAGGCAGATATGTACATATAACCGTGAGCTTCTCTGCTGCTAGACAAGGGCAGAGGGCAGGTGCAGACTGTAAATGTATCTGTCATTGTCAAGTCGGTGTCTCAGAGACATTGAATTGACATGCGAAGATAATTGGTGACGTTGCAATTTCCACGTGTCAGGTGGATGAGTCCCTGGGAGGTCTGCGACCCGGCTTCTGTGCTGACGAAGAAAGCTCATCTGATGATTGGCAAAGATTGATATAGGGACCCTTGTTTTGGTGCTGCAGTGCCTGAAATCCTTCTGATTCAGAAGCATTTTGCTTCACAGGGTTGAGAAGTGAAGATCCAGTGCCATGGCGGATCTGCCTTCAGATGATGATTGTGGTGTGGTGCTGAAGGCTCCCTTGCAAGAGGTCAAGTTTCGACCTGTGGCTGCGCCTCTTCGTACATCGAGCAACACCCCACCGGCGAAGCTTCTCGGCGGTTCTTCGGGATATGAGCCCAGCATATCATGCTTCGTTTGTGTCCTTGCACTTCTTGAGTGCCTGCACTTCTTCAGTGTTTGCACTTCTCCAGTGCCTACATGCAAGGACCGTGGATCCAGCGACTGATTCTTGCTGCAATTCTTGCTGCTCGAAGAACTGCTTGGATGCATTCAAGCATCGGGGCAAGCTCCAGAACCTCTTGAAGAAGACAGAGAAATACAACGAGGAAGAAAAGAACAGGTTCCTGCTCAACATCATGAGCCTTTGCCCGGTTGTGCCCAGGCGAGCAATAACAGCAAGAAGATACAGGTGGGCAGAAGTTTTAGTTGTTGCCGATGCCTGTTTCCCGGAGTGATAAGGACAGCAATGGCAACTTGCGATACCAACTCGTTGGCGAGCACATCTGCTCGCATGCATTCGCGAAGCTGATGAACGTCAACTATAAGAGAGCCTCTTTTCAGCAGCCAGCCCCAACCAATGCTCATTACCCATGGCCTTCATGGCATCTGCTCATTTTCAGACTTAGGTCAAGAGACTTCTTCCCAGTGTTGGCAAGGGGTTGCTGCCACCGGACCTGCGCACTTCGGGTGCAAGAACGGCCGATGCTCTGGCGCCCAAGTCTGAGTCCATCGACGCCTATCTCCATTTCATTTATGTGCACATCGCAGAGCCTCTAGCCGAGCAAACCGTGGACTTGGAGAACGACCCTTACCTGAAGGACATGTATGTCAGTGCTTCCAAGCTGCTCCAAGGCCATTTCTGAGGTTTGGGAAGTGCTGAGTACTTTTTGAGTGCTGCCACGTTTGGATAGGTGGTTCCCTCGAAGACCTCGTGCTGCTTCCGGACGAGGAGGGTGTGCAGGAAGCTTTGTTCCTGGAATCCGATCCAGTGGCACTCGCTGCTGCAGATACTGGAGAAGGCAATCAAAGTACTTGGTATCTTGTTGTTGTCATAATCGTTGGATCCCAGCTCGAGAGTCTAGAAAGACCCGCAGGCACCGCCTGCAGACAGCCGAAGTGGATCCCACACCAAAGTTACGAGTGCATGTATGCACACTACCAGCTGTATCTCTCCGGCAAGAGTGATGAAGAGCTGCCGGCATCCTACAGGACGTTTTGCAGAGTCGTTTCCTCGAAGCTCAGCACTACTTGGAGCAAGCTGATTCGCATCCGGAAGCCGTCGCAGCATGCGCGGTTTGCAACTTAGATTGGCGTGTCTTTGAGTCTGCTGGAACAGTCGTCATGGATGGGACAGTCGTCGTGTTGTGCATTTCGAGGTGTGCCACCTGTTCTCGATTCTCCCAGAGGATTAAGAATGCTCTGGCAGAGGCCGACAAGATCCCCTTGCAAAGGGCCCAACAGCAACACATCAATGAAGTCATGTCGCATCGGACCTTGTGTACGAGGCTCAACCACCTCAGTGAGGAGTCGACTGGCAGACCGGGGATCTCTGATCCGAGCGGGATCTTGAAGGTCGACCTCGATGGTGCAGATCAAAGCAAGACACTTCTCCCCAGAGGTCTCGACAACAACAAGTTCCTGTCGTCCCTCTGGCCTGCACAGCTGCATGTCATGGGAGCTCTGGTACATGGAGCTGCTTATCCAAGCACTGTGGGATGGCTTGCAGGGTGCTGTGTTGCGTGAGATAACTACCGAATTGATTTCTACCTGGAACCGCTCAGGTTGCTGAGATCTATTACCTGGTCTCCCCGGACGTGATGAAGGACAGCAGCACGGAGGTATCCCTACTGTACGATGTCTTGCAGACCACGGAATCCATCTTGCGTGACAAGAACATTGACATGCCTCCATGCTTAGCATTGGAGGCCTGTAGCTGGGATGGACTTTCCAATGAACATGTTTCGTGATCAACTGTCCAAAATCGCGAGTCCTCGCATCCCTGTGCAGACAGACAACTGTTGCCGAGAAGGCAAAAATCAGATCGTCTTAAAGGCGGAGGCGCTGTTGCTCACCCAGAGCAAGCCACGGGGCATTGAGAGATGTTCATAATATGTTGTTGTACCTGAGGTTTCGATCAGTGAGTCATTTGTTCGGTGGAGTGGGACACACCCACAATTATCTCGACCAGCGCTTTTCGGTGATGTTTGGCGCCCTCGACAAGCGACAAAGTGTCTTACAGACACCCCAGGACTGACCGAAGCATGACTTGAATGGCCAATGGCAGTGTGTTTGCATCACATGTCGTGAGGATGTGGCCGAGTGCATCCGGCAGAACCTGCGTCCCGGCAAGAATCGGAAGCTGATTGTCAAGCTCTGGGACCAGAGCCTGGACTTCAAGGAGTACATCAACCGTTTGCCCTGCTCTATCGGTGGATTGGTGCCGAATCCCCAGGGCCAGAATGCGATGCACACGAACCATTCCTGGAGATTGTGCCTTCGAAAGGATTGCACATGATCCAGTTAGTGCAGTGTGCATACTGGCATACCGTTTCTGCCTTGGTGTCATAACCTTCATCAAAGCATGAACTGTCACAGGACCTCCCCAGCTACGACACACCTGACACTTGGGAGTTGCAGAGCTGCTACTCCAATGTGGAGCCTGACCCGTTGGATGTTATCCTCATGGTCAAGGAATGGACTTGCTCAGACAGCCTGAGTCAAGCGCCGATGGTTCTACTTCCGAAGAAGATGGCTGATTCTTTGGATCCTACGACGTTGCGCACGCAGATCAAGAAGCGGCTGTCAAAACGGGAAGCGCAGGAGACGGAGACTTATTTTCTTCACACCTTGATTGCAAGCGTGATGTTCTGTTGTTTCCCATCCTGTGCATTTCTCAGGTTCCTGAAGACAGCTGCGAGTGTGTCGATGGAGCCGTGGTTTTTTTACCAAGCCTCAGCGTACTTGCGCGGTCTGGTGGTGTCTAGGACGCAGTGATTGCACATGCTGTGTCACATGGTGTCACTGTTAGCCTATAAGGAAAGCAACACGACAGAATGTGACCACGGCCACGCCCTGCTCCGTCTGTTCCAAGATGGGCATCTCCGAGTGAGCCTGTTCGCTCGCTACTTGCAGCGGGCTGCCCCGAAGGGTACCTTGTCTGCTGTGGCTGTCTTTGTCGGGTACCTTGTCTGCTGGTCTTTGTGCTATTCTCGTGCAAGCAAGGTGGCAGAAGTATGGTCCGGGAACACCCCGTCCAGTCACGATCTTGAATGCTGTGCCCGAGCAGCCTGCCAAGCCTAAGCAGAAGAGGAAGTCTCAGAGGGACGATCAAAACAACAAGAGGCCCCGCCCAGTTGAAGTGCCGGCAGTACCAGAAAGGGCTGAGGATCTGCCACCTGCAGCCCCAGTTCTGGGGTGCTCCAAGTGCAGATACTCG